TTAAACATGCAATTCAATTAATACTGCAATTATGTAAGTAATAAATGAACACAAGAATTGATCACGGAGAAACCCAACTGGGTGAAAACTCCGGGTATTTTGTCGGTCAATAATCCACTATAAACGATTTTAACTTATAGTCTACCAGACTGGACGACGACACGTACTATTTAATCTCCTGACCGCAATTCCAACAGCTCCTCTGGATTCTATATTCCTGCACTAACTCTCAGTTGCAGTTTTCAAAACTCTTCTGAATTGCGCTCTCCTACATCAACTCCCAACTTTGTAAAATTGTCTATCTTTTGTAAATTCACGAAGAACACCGCGTTCTTCAACGACTAGAACTCCAGTCACCTTTCCTTAATCTTCAGAAACTGTGATAGATATGTAGGAAGCAACAATTTAGTATTTGGATTGTATTTTACACTGCTATGAACATATCAATTTGAACAATGAAGGTTGAATGTTTCAAAGGATGAAAAGAACATGGAAGCAGTGGTTTTTCTGTATAATCAACCTTAGAAAAAACGTTCATAGGCGTTCAAGTATTTATATGTAGGTTAGGGAATCAATTGGCTGGACAAAAAGCCTTTAAAAAACGAAATAAAAATTTCCTTAATAACACTGTCGTTAGAGCGAAGACCCAGCTACAATCGAGCGACGGGTTGTTGCTCGAGTGAAGGTGAGGCGACAGTCAACCGATGAAGTTTTTGTTTCTGACGTTTGAACCAAACCTTGACGAATAGCTAGTGAAATTCCGCGCCATTTGTCCTTCTTTCCCATTCTCGAACCCTTTAACTAAAATATTATAACTTTCACTAATTTGCACACTACTCCTTGATTGTTTACAACATGTCAACTTTAGTCCTTTTTGTTCACAAAATAGCCAATTACATTAAATACCTAACGAAGCTCCCTTAAATGCAGTGCATATTCATTATTTTATACATGTGCGCAATTTTTTTCAAAATGGTAGCAGNCTTTAGAGGAAGTGGTTGTCTGCCACTGTAGCACTTGTGAATACTGTATCCAGGATGCACTTTGAAAGGTTCATTAACCCAGGTAGACGCAAACGTCTTGTGAAGATGCTCACTTGAGATCAAATTTAGACCAAGCTTGCCAAATCAGTTCTCATAGCGAGGACTAACCTGGATTTTCCTTTTTATCAGTTTTAACATACCATGCATCCAAACTTGAATGGGAAGTAATAGCGGGATGACTGGTATTGTTGATGATGCTGTACAAAATGAAGTGTGTAGAACAATGTTAGGGCATATTAATAAAATCCTGGAGGTGCCGCCCTCCTTTAAAAAAAAAAAAAAAAGCTCAAACTATTCACGGAGGGATACTTTGATTTTTGTAATTTAGTCTTCAGCACACAGCCCTTTAAATGATGGGTCGATTCATTAAGTTATACACGTGCACAATTTTTGTAAAAATGGTAGTAGTAAGTGTAGAACTTAAGTTATATGCATGCTATTATATTGAACAATCTCATCAAAAAGTATAAGATCTTAGAGATGCGCGCACGCACACATATATACTTTTTTTCACCTTCAATAAAGTAAATGAACTTGACAAGTTTGGAAATCCTTAACTTTTATAATAACAATAACTTAAAATCCATATTGATAAGCCCAGGGAGAAGCTAATGTCTTGTAAAGAGGCTCAATGGAGATCAAATTTAGATGAAGCCTGTTAATATTAGTCCCTGCAGCAAGCAACGTCAAATCTAGATTTTGTTTTTTCACAATTTTTAACAAACCGTGTATCCCAAATTAATTAGGAACATTTTTTATTTCCATATTCTTGTCCATGAATTGGTTCACGAAGTACAAATGGGATTGCTGAAATTATTTATACTATTGCATAAGATGATCATTAGATCAAGTTATTGATTTTACAACGAATTATGTTGAACAACATCATTTAGGCAGTTAAGAAATGTATATTGATTTAATTAAATTTATTCTTCAACAAGCTTGAAAGAACGAAGTTCGACCCTAACAACACCTAGGGGGTGAATAGGTGATTGTGCGGAATAAAAAATAATTTAATAATAAACAAGCAACAAGTCACTATTAATTATTTATCTAGATCGTCAAACATGCAATACAATT